CTGGTCACGGCTGAGCCAGTCAGAGATGGGATAACGTATTTAAGAGAGAATAAAACTTATGGCATGGCAGCAATTGCAGCTGGAGAAGAGAGGAGTGAGAATATGCCAGGGGAGCAGCCCTGCAAATACCAAGGTCAGTGTAGAAGGAGAGGAGGAGATGCTCCAGGCACTGGAGCTGAGGTTCCCCTGCAGCCTGTGGTGCAGACCAGGGTGAGGCAGCTGTGCCTCTGCAGCCCACAGAAGTCCATGGATGCAGACATCCACCTGCAGCCCATGAAGGATCCCATGCCAAAACAGGTGGATACCCAAGGGAGGCAGTGACTCCACGGTAAGCCCATGCTGGAGCAGGCTTCTGGCAGGACCTGTGGACCTGTGGAGAGAGGAGTCCATGCTGGAACAGGTTTGCTGTTGGGAGTTGTGACCCTGTGGGGGACCCATGTTGGAGCAGCCTGTTCCTGAAGGACTGCACCCTGTGGAAGGGACCCACCTGGAGCAGTTCATGAACAACTGCAGCCTGTGGTAAGGACTCACGTTGGAGTTCATGGAGGACTGTCTCCCATGGGAGGGACCCCGTGCTTGTGCAGGGGAAGGAGTCCTCCCTTCGGAGGAAGCAGTGGCAGAAACAACATGTGATGAATTGATCACAACCTCCATTCCCTGTTCACCTGCACTGCTTGGGGAATGAGGCAGAGAACCAGGAATAAAGTTAAGCCCAGGAAGAAGGGTGGGTAAGGGGAAGGTGGTTTTAAGATTTGGTTTTACCTCTCATTATACTACCCTGATTTGACTATAATAAATTAATTTCCCCAAGTCAAGCCTATTTTGCCCATGGTAGTAATTGATGAGTGATCTCTCCCTGTCTTAACCCACAAGCTCTTGTCCAGCTGAGGAGCAACTTGATGAGCAACTAGGATCCAGCCAAGGTCAAGCCACCACAGCCCTATCAGATGCCAACCTGTTCAAGTACTGAAATCTCAGCTTGCTGTGTGATTGAGCACCTTTCCTACTCTGGAGTTCCTCTGCTGCATCATTTTTCACTCACAAAAGCCCTCAAGTTGCACTAATTAATTAGGTAAATGCATCAAACCTTTCTTCAGAACAGGTCTGTGGAGGAATTTCATAAATATTTCTTTAGTTCAAGTACTTGGGTAAACTGAAAATCTACCTGTAATCCTTTATGAAAGAGAACAACATTTTATATGATTCACAAACTGAGAATTTTAAAATAGATTTTGCACTTACAGAGTAAAACCATTTAAAAATTCTAACGTGAATCATGTATGCAGCTTATTCATTCTCTATTACATACTTTGTATGTAGTGAAGGACAAGAATCATATGGTATCACTTCTTTTCCCAGTTTAAGATGTGCAAGTTTCTGAGAGTTGTCCTATACTCTCTTAAAGGAAGACACAGACTTAAACTGTTAAAAAAAATATACTTCAAAGCTCATTCTATTATGAATTACTTCAGCAGCCTTAAATCAACATCCAAAATCAACAAAAAGTTTTATACCAGGATGGGGATAAGAGAACTAAATTAAAAATATCAACAAGAGGTTTAATTTTTTAAGAGTTTAGTCATTGACGTTAAAGGCAACCAATGCAGCAGTCAGAGGGCATTGTAACACAGAGGTAAAGCATATGAACATTTTCCTCCAGAATTCACACGATTTAATCAAAATGCTACGTTAAACATCAGAGCAACTAGGAGTTTCTATTGTGTTAGCAGAAGTTTTCAGGTTTCAGTGATATTTGAAGGTACAACGTGATTTGAGCACACAGTTGCTATGACTGCTGTGCTACAGAGAGAGAATATATTAAAGGCATCTAAAATGCCTGTTTGAAAACACTAAACATTTAGTCTGCTCCTACCACCTTCTGAAACATAAATTTAATACATGTTGATAAGTTTACACTAACACAGTAAGTTAACAGACTGAGGTACTGGTTAAAGTAATAAGAAACTCTGGTTTCTTGCAAGTTTAATCCAGTGAACAGAAAGATGGGATATATAAAGTTGTATGGCCTATTTCTACAATGGCAGAAGCGTTATGAGTAATCAAAGGTACTGAGATGTTCCTAGTTCATTCATACAAACTAACAAGATGTTAGAAAACCAGAGAACTACAAGCTAAAAAGCTTAGGCTGTACTAGCTCAGTAGCCACAGTGGCTGGAGTTCAACATTGACTCAATACTTAAATATTTGCTCAGCTCCTTTCCCAGGATTCACAGCCTGAGAAGAATTATGTGCTACTGCAAACATGCCCTCAGCAGTACCTCCATTAGTTAGCTATGTCTACACAGAATTTCACACCAACAGGTACATAGTCTTCTAGGATAATTCCATTTGAAAGGAACCTCAAGGGGTCACAGAGTCATAATAAGTCAACAGTAGATGTTTTCTATGAAAGAATAAATGTTATCCTGTATCCCCATCTCACCTTTATACCAAAAGGAGTAGTTGCCAATTTTATTTCACCTGTTGTGATAAGTTCCATTTCAAGCCTCATTTGTGCTAGGATTAGAACTCCAAGTATTAATAAGCAATGAAGTTTTTACACTACTGATGGAATTTCCTTTGCAACTTCTGTAACCCCAAGTAGTATGGCAACCATTGGTTGCCCCAGGTAGTTTGTGGACAACTGCTGTACAACATATAAGAGAATCAACACTTTGGTAAGTCAGTTTCTAAAATAAGGCAACGAGGCAAAATTACCAAGAGCAGAAAGAGAATAACCAATATTTCACAAAATATGCTATGAATCCGCTTTAGGAAAACCATGTTAAAGTGACTGCATCTAAGAAAAGAATAACTCAAAAAGAAATCAAGAAATAAAGCCTATGTGTTCAGGTTGCCTCCAAGGACTACAGTAGGCATTAAACATACCAAGTTGAAGCTAATTCTTTCAGATACCATGCCCAGCTTATATACAAACCTTTCTCTTTTTTTGGCAGCCATATGTGAACTATCCCTCTTAGAAGTATCTATTCTTGGCTACAGAGACAAAAAGCATCTTCAGCACTTATGTACAAATATATTTGATTTGTAACTTTTTAAATGCACCCTATCAGCCAACTTTCTTATTAATTGCTGTCTAACACATGCTAACCAAAACCAAGGTATATCTGTTGGAGTCTCCTAGCCTTTCTGAAAACACCACCTTTATACTTGTTCCACCATATATCTGGAATAAAAGCAGAAGTCATACGGAAAGCAGGAAGAAGACATTGACATGATCAAAGATCAAATGGATATTTTCATAATCTTTGTATAAACAAAACAACAAAATCCCACTGTTAGCCAATTATCAGCGAAAGATTACTCCATTTCCAGCATTTCATACTAACAACACACATATTCCAAACCTATTCCACTTCCTTATTGAAAGCATCCAGCAAATTACTAATCAAAAAGTTATAAAGAACCAGCATGGGTATTTCTTGCAAGTCTAGAGACAAATGCTTCTCAGTTTGTCTATTGTAAATTTACAGAGAAAAGGTTTTGGATCAGAACCCAGTTAGAGTTTCACGAACTAATACAACATAAAGGATAGTAACTAAGAAACCTGAGACATAAATTATTTTTATAGGCTGTACTGCAACTAAGAAACATAATAAATGCCTGTTGCTTTGTCTCAATTTAAATTAATTATGGTTAACTCAAGTGTTGTCAAAAATTTCAAGAACAATATTTTACACCCTTAATTTAATAAGGGGTTATAGTAACTGTTTAACATATTAAAGAGCTTCATTTTAAAAAAAATAATTATAGAAATTAAATTTGTTTTGTATAGTATCCCAGAGCAGCATTTTGAAATAGGACTGTTAAAAGTTCACAAGTTATAAACAATGAGTTACTTCTAAAAATTTTTAATTATTATTTTTACTGTTAACACATGACTTAACAAGGAAACAGTGACCTTTTCTGGCTATAAATGTGTATTTTGAATTCTGTGTTGGCTGCCTTTTGAAGTTAGTGACAATGAAAGAATTAAGTTTAGGAATAATCCATTTATTCACAAAAACATACCAAGTTTGCTCTCTGAAAACAAGAGCAGAACGTGCAAAACAAATATTGGTAAAAATCCAAACTGTGTGTCCAAGGTGCACCCATTTCTCTGTAAGTGTGTAAAGACAGTTAAGGTAATTTCAACTGATCTCACAACACCCAATCAACAACTTTCCCCTACAAAAAGAAACCCATGTAATAGCACAGTGTGATATCTCAGTGAGTGTATTTTTCTGCTCTCCATTTGTCTCCAGGTGTTTTGCACAAGCTTTGAGCAGCATCAACCTGAGGCAAAAAAGTCCTAATAGCAGGTAGTTATTAACCTCCAGGAAACAGAAAAACTACACATTACTGCAATGTATTCAGCCTGAGAATACACAAACTCGTGAAGTTTGATGCATCGGGGTGGTCTCTAAATCACCTTAAAATAATTTTTAAACAAATTAGTTATTGTCATGGCTAGCTGCCACGCACATTGCTACACAGAACTCCTGATTGTTACAAATTCTGCCCAAGGAACTGGTCAGCAGAAAGTTAAACACATTAGGGTACTTTTTTACAATAACCAGAAGCTATTAGAATGGACCAGGAACAACCAGTCCAAACCAGAAAGAGACAGTTCTTCCCTAATAGGTAGTAAGTAATCTGCTTTATCAAAGAATGCAAGAAGTTTAAATAAGTTCAAGCAAAAACTGGGCAAAGGGAGAAACATTCTGATTGAACAGCACTTTTAACTAAATAGCTAAACCACGTTACAAAGTCCCCTGAGCTGAAAACAGGTGGAAGTTGGGAGAGTGTAGGAAGGTGGTATGGAAAAAAAGAAAGATGAGTATCATATGTTATCATATTTTTATCCTTCCATCAGCTTCTGATTACAGCTACTTTCTTTTCCCCCATGACCTTAAATGCATTTAATTGCACATTAGCCCCTGCAATGGACGGGAAAATGATAAGCAGCAACTTGTGATTACAGTTTTTATTGATTTTTCCCCTGGTGTACTGCTTCTAAAGACACTGCAGTAACAGGCAGATGCATAGGATAGACAGAAAGAGTTCCAACCCATCTTTTGGCCCTAAAAGTCTCTTTAATATGATATCTTCAAGTCAAAGATGTAAAAGATATTTAACTGTTACAAACAGATGTTAAACTTGACTTTAGACAAAGATCACAGATTAGAGACAGAATATTAAGATGAATGAACTCTTAATCTGAGCCATTTTTATGCTTTTATATTAATGAAACTCACAAGTAACTTCACCATTTGTTTAAGAGCAGTTTGCTGAATTAAATGTCATCTCCTAACTCTACCTTTCCTACTAGAAGTTAAAATAAAAAATCTTATAGCAAGAAAATATGGTAAAAGGGAACGAAAATTCAATAAAGACCCAGAAGAAGAAGCAGTAAGGGCAAATGAGCAGTAGAACCTGCAGCTACTTAACTTTTTTCAACCTGAATTAAACTCCATCATATCGTTCTGCACAGTGGAGGTTTACAAGACATGCTCACACATGAGAGGGGCTGGGCTGCCATCCAGAGGGACCCAGACAAGCTGGAGGGATGAGTGAACAGGAGTCTTATGAAATTCAGCAGTGACACACACAAATCCCTGCATCTGGGAGGGAAGAGTCCCCTGCAACAGAGCAGGTCACCAAGACAACACCACCAGTACCCAGGGGTGCATAGCGGGAAGATGAGTGGCAATGTTGAAACAAGTTCAGACTAGGTGCAAGGAAAAAAATGTCTCACTATGAGGACACACAGGCAGTGAGATAAACTAAAGCAAAATGCACAGAGAAGCTGCGCAGCCTCCATCCCTGAAGGTTCTGAAGGTAAGACTGGATAGCACAATATAACAGTACAGGAAATGTCAAGATTGATAGGACTTCAGAACTAGTATTCACCACAGCCATATTCAAAGTGGACCTTATTTAGCTTGACTTTTTCACCTTTATGCTTGCTAATATTCTCCTATGTCCCACAGGCATTTACTTTAACATTAATCTGATTTAAGTTAATTTGGAGCAATTTTTCTCAGTTTTTATTTAGTTCTGAAAGTTGCTGCTTCTATTCTTCAACCTGAAGAAGAGATTCTAGCCATTTTTATTCCTGTCTTATTATGCCATTCAGTACTACTACCTCCTATAAACTTCTTACCTTCACTTTTTGGCATACCATGACTGCAGTCCCACTACTGTCTCCTTTACTTTCATAAAAAGATTTTCATGCAAAAAGTTTTTGCTAAAGGTAATTTTTATTCATTGTGGGCGTGCTGCAAGTATAATCAAGGACAAAAAAAAAATTCACAAAGGTCAGAAAGCCAGTTCCACTCCAACTCCATTTGACACAAAGGCATGCAGTAAAATATTCCAAGAGTATCATTCCAGTTTTTCCAAATTTATAGGTTCTGGCCAAAAATCTCTAAGAAAATATGTTTCACTTAAACTGGAAATTGCAAGCCTGCTTTCACTTCTAACCTTGAGATCAGGTATGTGAAAGTTTTATGTTGTGGCACATAGAATGAGAATTTAAATTCTCATTCTAACTACGCTGTAGGAAAGAAGTAAAACAGCTGCCCCTTTAAAGCAATAGCAAAGAGAATGTATACCCCTCCTTATCATGCCCTGCAAACGAGATACTGTGGCATATGCAACAGAAGATACAGCTGCTAATCAAAATAAAATACATTTAAAAAAAAAAAAAAAGAGTAAGGCATTGCAAACAGCATGTATGCTTATTTAAAGCAGCAATCTCTTTGGCCTAATCTAGTTACATACTTTCGTCTTTTCTAAGAGTCTGCCCACAGCAGATAAACACACAAACCTTCTTGTGCTGCACCAACTGACGTCAGCAGTCGCTTAGGAACAGCGTTTGGTGCAAAAGTGGTAGTACCGAAACTATGTTTACAATTGAAAAAGAATGAAGTATGCAGAGCTCACCATAGCTTCAGGAAAAAGAGATACAAATTTATAAATGTAAACTACGAAAGACCTTCTCTAAAAATTCATGGGACTTTCAGGGAATGTTTATCTGCTTAAACATCTTCCAGTGAATACAAAGAGTAATAGATTTATTTTTTTATATTTTCAACAGTTCACTCTTCCCAGAAAAAAAAAAAAAGGGGGGGGGAAAAAAAGAAAGAAGTAGTCATCAGTTTCGTCAGTTTTGGAATGTAAGCTTTGAGCTTCTTTCATTTCTGTTTAATCTGTAAATGAAAATTCAAATCCAGTAACAACTTTATTGGGTAACTCTTTAGAGGGACAAAGCCCTGTTGTTCCCACAGCAAGAAAACAAAAGATCTCACAAAACAACCTGCACCAGTAGAAATAATCATCCCATCACTATTTTCTAAGTAGTCAAATGTTCATAAAGTCTAGTATCTAAGGAACTTGAACTGCTCCACTTTAAATAACTCAGTGCAAAAATTATTTAGAAGACCCTGAAAAATAAACAATGTAAAACTGTACAGATGCAAAGCTGTTTGCTACAGCTTCCCAAATAAACTTAATTTTACAATTACAGAATTTTAATTTAGAAAGAATGTACATGAAATCTCTAAGAATGGGCTTATTTATTGGTTCAGTGTATTTTATAAGTAAAGCCCAAATTCTGAGTACCCTGATACTTTCCATTCTTTGACAACATATGATAAAGTTTCTAACCACTTGTTACACTTCTGGAAGTCTACTGAATAAGAAAAAAAATGGCATTGTTTACGCAAGTTTAAAAAATGTTATTTAATATATATTTATATATATTAGACCTCTAGTTGGCATTCTCCAGCTTAAGTCTATGAAAATGAAGCAGTTCTCTCATCAGAGCTGGGCCTAATAGGAATGCACTGTAATACTGGACATCATAACAGAGAGAGTCTGTACCTTGTGTGCTCACATTCCTCCTGCTGGCTCTGAGAAAACATGAAGGAAGAAGTTAAAACTAGACTGGCCAAAAAAAGGACACTGCAGAGAAGGACACTGAATAATATGGGTCAATATTACAAAAACCAGAGTGCTTATTTTCATATTCTTTTGACATATTTTCAATATAAAACCTCATATTCAACAGTCACTCTCAACCCCTCAACAGTAATTAGTTACTGAGACCTGAGAAGCTGTGCATGCATTTATCACAGTTTTTTGCTGCACACATTTCCAATCAAAAAAGTGCATGGGAAGAGAACACAGCCTGCTTCTCCCATTAAGCTAATATAAGCTTAACTTATAAACTTAATATATAATATAAGTTTATTTCAGGAAGGCTAACTGGAATATATATCAAATGGAAGTGATCAAAATCAGGAACATTTCCCCTTCACTCCACCAAAAGAAACCCATCACCTATATGCAAAGTGGAAAAACTATATAAAAGACAACAGGGATAATCCTCTTTTTTTTTTTTTTTTTTTTTAAATACTGAATTCCTGACATGCAAACAGTTTTACCAAATGTCTGAAATGAAGACAAGGAAAAGGAGCAGGTAAAACCAACTTATCTGAAGCAGATAATCTGTGGTTCCATTCATCTCACTATTTTTTATTCTGCTATGAGGATTGGGAGAAAGCTGTTTCTGTGATTCCAAGGCACCCCTAAAGAATATTGTCTCTGGACAAAGTCCAGATGTAACTTGGGCCAGGAATAGCTATACGATCCCAAACTGAAACATTCCTAGACCATCCAATGGTCTAAGTAGTTTATCTGGAAGTCAAGCAGAGAGATTTGAAGAATAAAATAGTTTGACTAAACTCAGCAAAGCCTTGCTCATTGATCCAGGCAGAGTTCAGAAACTGCTTCAGCTTGCTTTCTGATTTATATGCCTCTACCTGGCCTCTAAGTCAACTTTTCCAGGATTCTAAATTTACTTCCCATCACACCTCTCATCATGACAGCTGAAAAGCAAGTTTCCAGTCTTCTAATACCCTTGGGAAACAGAGCATCATTTTTCTACTGCTGTATCTGGAAATAATCAAGGTGCTGAAGGGAACAACTGGCTCTTCAAACTACTGCTGTACTTTGAGAATTTCTGATGGGATAGAACACAGTTCAACCATGCTTCAATGTACAGCACCAGCAGGAGACTCTGTTGTCTCAAGTCTCACTCCTGGTAAACCTCTCAAACAGAGACGTCTACCTGGATAATCTTTTATATATGACTTGGGATAGGAAGCAAAGAGCCAGAAACAAATGTCCAGTTGTTATCAGAACTGCAGCCTATGCACTAAGCACAACCTTCACAGAATTCTAGTTAGAATTATCCTCCTACAATGCCAGCTTTGTGTCCCATAAAGAGGTAAGACTTACTGGGAGATTAATTTTGCTGTTCCAACAACTGGTCTTGAAAACAGCCAAGTTTTAAGTAAGTGTCTTTTTCCTTCTTCACCCTCTCCTTCACAAATGTTAGCTAGTTAATTTTAAAGCTAACAAGAAAATTACCTCACTGCTGATGCACACAAACATGCATTTGAGCAATGTAATAAACTATAAACATAAAAATCATCTTGTCTGCAAAAATAATGTGAACTTGGAGATACAATGAGAAACATACTTCACTCACACATATATTCCATTTCTTAGAGGGGGGAAATAACTCTGAGCATCAGAAAAGACTGAGGAAAATGAGTGGGAATCAATGTTAACAACACTTCAGACTCTCTAAAGTCATTTTGAGAAAAGAAATTCTATGAAAACTCATCTTTTCCTTGAAAAGCAAGCTTCTTTGCTTCATCCTGTTATCTGCTGTCCATTTTACTATTCAGGGCTCCACAAGAATAGTCTGTGACCTGTCCTTTTACTTCTCAATAGGCATAACACAAAATAAAATATCAGTGACACAGTTTGCTTTCACATCCAGCAACAGCAGTGAATCAGGCCTCTTGCCAAGTCAAAACTTGTTCGAGCACCTCTTCCAAAAAATGGCCATCACCACTCCTATCTAGTAGACTGTTAAAATGAAAAAGAAGTGATAGTCTCTGTGAGAAAGGCTCAGAGCATAAATAAATTAGCCAATAAGTCAGCGTTTCATTTATCTCGGAGCTGTCATTGCTAGACAGCTTGTTTGTGTAACGGGTAAAGACAGAAGAACAATAAATCAAGTCCTACAACATGATAGCAAATAAACTGTCATGTTTCACTGCATAGAAGACCACCTTCCCAAAACTCGAACGAACATCACAACAAGGAATATC